CTCCTCCGGCGCCGCCATGGGCTGCGCGCGGCGTGCGCTCTGCGCCCCGGGAAGCGGCGCTCCGCGGGCAGAGCGAGCGAGCGGGCCGCCCCGGCGTCTCCGGCCCTCCGCGCAGCTCCTCCCGGCCCGAGCGCCGAGCGAGCCCGTTCCTCCTCTCGCGCCTCTTCTCCGCCTCCAGCACGCATCCGTTTCAGACGTGCGCCAATCAGGCGGCGCCAGGCGGGCCACGCAGCCAACCGAGAGGAAAAGCAGCTGGCGGAGGCGGGGCCGGGCGCTGGTGGCGAGGGCCGGGGACAGAAGTTGCAGGCGGCGCGGTCCCGTGCTCGGACCTCGGAAGCTCCGCCCGGCGCTGCATCCTGTTTTCCGCAGGAATCCGGCGCTGCGCGCCCTGACCTGTGGAAGCGCCGGTTGGGCCGCCTGCGCAGTCTTCCGCATGTTCAGGAAGGAAAAAGTAGCAAGCTGAATCAAGCAGATGTTTTTCCGCCCGGACGTGCATAAGATCGGACGCTTAATGTGTATTTTCTGGTGGGCGACTTTACGAAATCCTCAGAACCTTCGTTCTCGCTGGAATTTTCCCTCAAGGAAAATAGCTAATTTGAAAATCCATCGCGTGGCTTTCCCACGGTGGGTTTCATCCTGTTTGGTGAAAGTTTTCGCTTAGAATAATTAGCTTTCTAATTATTCTGATAAACTGAATTGAACCTTTTAACGCCTTGGTGGGGGGGGGGCTTTGTGGTCACAAACTCCCCCTGCCCAGCTATTCTGCATTTTTCTGTGGCATTCCAATGGCATAGTCCTATTCCCTGGCATTCTCTCTCTCACACACACAGACACACACACGGAGGGAGGGAGGGATGTTTGGACCAGTTGCTTCGTGGCGATGCCATAAAAGCGCGAGTGGGTGCGCCTGCAGAGCAGCATGCGTCCCCGGGAACCAAATGCGGGACGAGGCGCCCCGGCCCAGGCCCTCCGTGCGCGGGGGGCGGGCTCACCCCGCCTCTTCGTCAAGCCCCGCCCCGCCCCGCCCCGCCTCTTCGTCGGGCTCGCCAGCACGAGGGAAGCCGCCCGGAAGGCCGGGCGGCAAGAAATCAAACCAGCTCGCGACGCGCCCCGGCCAATCGCGGCCGCGGGCCGCCGCGGCGCGGCCAATGGGCGGGCAGGGCGGTGCCGTCCCGGGCGGAGGGCGGCGGCGGCGGCGCGGAGCGGTCGGGCGGGGAAGTGGGCCGGGCGCTCTCGCGGCTGGGCCGGCCGTGGGTCCGTGCGGGCGCGGCGGGCTGGCCCCATGCCGGCGGGACGCGGCGCCGACGGGCTGCCGCGCGCGTTCCTGCAGAGCCTGCGCCCGCTCTTCGACATCCTGGACGACCGGCGGCGCGGCTGCGTGCACCTGCGCGAGATCGAGTCCCGCTGGCGGCTGCCGCCCGACGGCGAGGGCCCGGCGCTGCCCCCGGGCGTGCTGGAGGGGCTGCGCCGGGCCGCGCCGCCCAGCGGCTACCTCACCTTCGAGAGGTTCGTGCTGGGCCTGCGGGCCTCCCTCCCCGGCCCGGCGGACCCCGCCAGCACGCTCCCGCCGGGGCCCGCGGACGGCAGGGCGCCCGCCCACGAGGGGGCTTCGGGCAGCGGCGCCGGCCGTGCCCCGCGCGCTCCGGAGAAGACGCCCGTCCCGGCGGCCGAGCAGACGCGCTGCACACGACCGGGTGAGCAGGGGCGAGCGGGATGCCTCGGCCGGGGCCCCGGGCCGCCCCGCGCGCGTTTCCTCTGCGGGGCGGGCTCGGTCCCGGCGAAGGGCTTTCGCCCGCCCACAGCTGGGGCGCGGGGGACCTAGCGGCTCACCGGGCACGGCTCTTCCTCGCGGGCCGCCGGAGCATTTCCCCGGGAACCGGCTCCACGCGGGCGCGGGGCGTGTGGGTGATGTGCGGGCCCTGCAAAGACGGAAGCGGAGTTCCTCAGGCGTAGGTAGCAGCACCCCGATGCTCGCCTGCTACCTGCTGGGCGTTTGGCTTTCCCAAGCCAGGTGTGGGCCTCCCCCCCCATAGGATTGGGCCCTGGGTCTCTCTCAGGAGCTGCCAGTGAGTCTCCGGGGGATTCAGTCGCTGCATTTGACGGTCCGTGGGCTGGAGGGACGTTCCACATAAACTCACCTCTGGAAGGTTAACTGGAATCGGGTGACCAGCGACTTGCCGCTTGTTTTGTCCTTCGGTCCCCGTGCACTCCAAAATCAAAGAAACAGCTGTGGAGAGGAGAGTCGGGACCAGTGAGCTTCCTGGTCCCAGGAAAAGGAGCTTTTGCTCCCCTTTTAACGTGCCTTCACAACCCCGGCCTCTCTCAGGGACGGCGGCAGAAGCCGGCGGGACCCAGAAGCCGGCGGGCCTGTTGCAAAACGAGAGCCGCTCCAGGGTGGTGGAGAGCCGGAAGCAGCCGAGGTGCCGCGGCGAGCACAGGAGACACACCATCACCGGTGGCGTGGACTATGCCATGGTATGGAAGTCCCCCCGGGAAGCCTTCCGCCTTTCCGCGCCAGCCGCTGGCGGCCAAAATCCCAGGTCGGCCTTGCCTTGGATTCACAGCCGAGATGCTGAAGCTGCCCTTTCCCAAGTCAGAGGTTGAGCCAGAGCCATGCTCTGCAGCCAGTGGGCCTTCCCGGAGATATTTGCAGGGTGGGAACAGTTGTGGGATTAGACCAATGGGGGACAGACGGGAAGGGATCCTGCCCCCTTCAGTGCATAAACGCGCAGGATCTTTCCCACTCCGCTCCCTGTGGCGTGACTCCCGTGGCCAAGGTGGGCTTGCCGTACGTGTCTTCTGTGTCTCGACAGCTGAAGCAAATGAAAGAACTGGAGAAGGAGAAGGATTTTTTGCTGCAGGGGCTGGAGGTGGTGGATCGGGCCCGCGAGTGGTACCTCCAGCAAATCCACATCCTCCAGGAGCACCAGAAGCAACTGGGCAAAAGCAAAGTTCACAGAGTGAGTCACTTTGTGGCCGCCTTGGACTGCACAACGGAGCTTGTATATATGTTTGTTGTTCTGAGATCGGAAGCACATTGTCGCGGTGGGGGGTTTGCCCGCCGAGCGTTGCAGCCAGACAGGAAGATGTTCCTGAGCGCCCCGCTCTTTTCCCACTTTGCGTTTCTCTCGCGCTCTCTTTTCTTCGAGTCTGCAAATCATGCAAACGCAACCTGTTTGCAAGCCCAAAGGTGCGAATGCGAGCAGGAGCGTGGTTCTCGGGATGTGTCCACGGTTTCCCAAACTTGTGTTTTAAAGGGCGCATTTCTGGAAATGTGCATGCAGCCTCTGGAAAGGTATGCATGGGTGTGCATGTCACGCGCACTTGTGCAAAGGCTCTGACGGTCCCCATTTCATGCGTTTGCCTGTGAGAGAAAATGTACATTCCCAGTGGGATTCCAGCATGCCTCTCACACTGATGTGTGGCTCTCCCCGTTTTCTCTCGCCCAGGACTCGCCTTCAGAGGGTAGCCTGAGCCAGCTCCACCTTCTAGTGCCCAAATTGCAGGAACTGAATCGCTGCCTCTGTGAGCTGCTGTCTCTTGCTGCGAAGGTTAGAACCGCACGAGGGGTGTGGTGGGAGGATGGGGCCCCCGTGGGAGCCGGACTTCCTGTGGTAGGAAGCAGACAGGAGGCCTCTCAGGATCTAATGAGAGGCCAGAGCAACTGAGGGGCAAAGGATTTTAACAGGCACTGCTCCAAAAGGACTAGAAACTTGACATTTTTAAAGGAAATGCATTAACAAAGCCAGTTTTTCCGCACCCGGTCAGTCTTTCCAAGTCGTTCTTTGTCTCCTAAAGGAAGGGGTCGGGAACGTCATAAACGGGGGCCTCATCCAGCCCTAATGTGGTCCTGCTGGGATGCTTGGATGGCCACACTCCCACTGAAAACTGGGCGGCTTCCCTGGGTTTTCCTCAGTTTCCTCCCCATTCTGAAAGGTTCCCCGCTTGTCCTGCAGCAGGCGGCATTTCTGGCTCCCCCGTTTTCTTTTTGACCCCACCCACCACCCCGTAGTGCCCCAGCCCCAACGACGTCGCCGAGATTGAATTTCCCCTCCCTGCTTTGGCCACGGGGTCTGGAAACGCGGTGCCTGTTCAAAAACCGCGGCACGGAGCTCCGGTTTCCAGGGCGTGGCAGCGTGTCACTGCTTCGGGGAGCGCGGGGCGACCGTGGAGGGATCCGGAGCCCCGGAATGAGCCCCCTTCTTTCTCGCCAGCCCCCAAGCCCGTGCGGTGTCACCGCAAACAGCCCGGCCTGTGCGACCGCGGCCCCCCCCCCTCTGGCCGGACCACAGCAGACCATCGCGATGCTGAAGGAACAGAACTGGCTCCTGACCAAGGCAAGGCAGCCCCGTCTTCCGGGCGGGGGGCAGGGGGGTCCCCAGCGACACAGTAGCGTTGACGCATGTCCTTGGCTCCTCAGGAGGTGACAGACAAAAGCGAACGGATCACGCAGCTGCAGCAGGAGAAGTCGGCCCTGATCAAGCAGCTCTTCGAAGCCCGTGCTCTCGGCAGCCGCGAGAGCAACCAGCTGGATTCCACGTTCATCTAGTCCCTCGGCCGCGCGTCGGGGCAGGTGCCTGCGGGCGCCGTGGCCCCGCTCCAGCCGTGGCTGCGAGCTCTTTGCAGCGCCCCAGGCAGCTCCGAGCAAGGCGCTGCCTCGCGCCCCCCGCTCGCTCGCTCGCTCCCGTCCCTCTGCCCTCCGGCGTCGCACATCTCTGCGGCCACCGCCAAGGGTGCCCCTCTTGTTCCGGCTGCTGTTCAGGCCATCGGAGCTGCAGTCCCCCAGCTCCCGGATCCGGCTTCCGTTTGGCTGGTGCGGACACAGCCGTTCCTCCACTGCAGCACTCCAAACCAGGCCGCCCGCGGGGGAAGCAGCGCTTCTGCGTTTCCTAGGCCTCCTTTTGACATGGAAAAGCGGTTTACTTCGTTCAGGAACACTTTACGGCTTTTGGGGGGGCCTGCCCGTTGCATTAAACTCCGGATGCTGCTCCAGTCTTCAGGTTCAAGTAGCCAGAATGAAAGGTCCTCCTCTTTACTCCAATACTAGCAGTGGCTTCTCTTCCTCTGTAGCCTGAAAGTGCATCTGAGCATATACAGAGTGCTCTTTCCTCAGAACTCCTTTACTGCAGCCAGCTTTCAGGGGTAGCTTGAACTTTCTTGCTGGCTCTGTGTCCTACTTTTCTTTAAACTGTTTTTCTAAGAAGAGCTTTGCCGCATCGGGTGCGAGGCCCGCTTAATCGCCCCGGTGGAGTGGCTTCCCTTGGGCAGCCACTCTCAAGCGAACGTGTCTGTCCCCCGGCTTATGCAGAGGGGAATCTGAGATCCGGTGAACCCGAGATCCGGTCGCTCCCTTTAAATGCTGCCAGCCTGCCCCATGAGACACATTTCTCTGCCTACGGAGGAGGAAAGTGTGAAGTCCAGGGGGACGTGTTCCTGGGCTGTTGTGTAAGCCAGTGGTCTTGATGCGCATCATTTCCTATGTAAAACATTTGGGCATGGGGCTGCGTATATGTGGCCAGAGGGCTGGGGGGGGTCATTTCCCCCCACCCCTAGTTACATTTTGGAGCAAGATTCCTCGTTGCTGCTCAGGGTTGTTGTCTGTCACTTGCGATGTCCCAGCAAAGAGCCGTTTTTGTCCCCGCGCTCGGTGCTGTCTGGACTCCTCTCACACTCCAGCTGCTGTGGACATTTGCATCCGCAACCCCCTCTCAGGTATGTAGCACGATTCACTGTTGTCTGTCATTTTATGCATGTTTCTGATCGGGGGATGGAAGCCCCCTCCAAATAAAAGCCGAAACGAGCCTCAAAGCAGCAGTGCTTCAGCGGCTTCTGCAAGTACCACAGGGAAGCTCCCTGCCCCAGGGGGCTTACAATCTAAAAGTGGGTACACGGCGGCAGGCCTGCCTTTGGACCCTCCTCGGAGGCAATGAACGTATCTGCAAGAACTCGTGCTCCTGGCCACTAGAGGGGGGCCTCATTCCACCGTTAAAGGGGTCGTGGTTTATGCCAGAAGCTTGGCCAGAGCAGGGAGGAACCGGGGAGACAGACGTTCTTCTGAACAGCCTGGCGGGGCCCCAAAGCTGCACGGCGCTGGAAGAGCCAGCCTCTCTGGGGGCCCCGGAGGAAAAGCTGCATGTGACCCGCTGGCTCTTCCGTGAGCTGCAGCCCGCCAGCAAGCCTGGGCGCTGGGCAAGCGGAGGCGCTGCAAGGAGAGGCTTCCCTCCCCGTGCCTGGGAACTGCCGCTCGTTCCCAAACCCGCGGGCCACACAGGGCGCTCCGCGGCTGCGGTGCCAACACTGCTGCTCAAGCGCTTGGATTTGCCTGGGCACGACCGTGGCATCCGCCAGCCGGCAAGCCTGCTAGGTGGCCAAGAGCTGGCTGGGACCCTGAGCCTGCATCCCTGCTGAGCTCACCGCAGGGGAAGCGGCTGGTTGAAACGTGGGGGGAGCTGCTTCCTCGCCTCTCAAGCCACCTAGAGGTTCACTCATCGAGTGGAGGCTGGGAGAGCCCGTGAGCACATTGAAATGCACGCACACCCCTGGGGGCTGAAGGGGCCAGGCTGTGCCCCCCGACACCTCATGCACCGGGGAAGCGCCTTTGGCCCAGCTGAGGGGCTCCTGGGTTACTGTTTCGGTGTGTTCAGGACATAGAGGAAACTCCTTGTAGTCGTTTAAAGCCCAGGTGCCTACAGGCACAACTGCTTGTCTGCGGACAGAGCCACGCTCGTGCCAAAGACGGCGTGCAGTTCACTGAAATCGTAAGGTGATGAAATGCAGAGGCAGTAAAGGAGCCCAGGAAATCCTGCAACTCCCTCCGGGCACCGCGGGCTGTCGCTGCAGTGACAGACGCTGCTCCTGGCGCATGAATTGCTCCCACGCTTTGTGCCTTCCTGGATGCAGGCAGGAAAGTGAAGAAGGGCGGCTCGCTGCCCACGCTCCTGGGAGACGAGGGTGGGCAGGCGGGCGAGCGAGCGAAGGCCGGCGCCCCTGTTCTGTGCTGCTTGGTTACGGAGTCTCCCCTGTGCATAAATATTCCAGTCTCTGTGGTGCTAAAGAACGGGACTAAAGGAAGCGGGAGCGTCGGAAGCCGTCCTGCCCGGAGTCAGGCCCGTGGGCCAGCTGGCCAAGTGGTCCCAGCACCGGCGGTGGCGGCTGCAGCTCTCCGCCCCCTCGGGCAGGAGCTCTCCAGCCGCCTCTGGAGGCAGCAGGGACTGGACTGGCAGCCTGCGAGCAGAGCACGGGCGTCTGCCCTCCTCGCTTGCACCTGGGCGCCTGACCTTGCGTGGGTGGGAGGCCAGGCCGGGGAGGGGGGTCCGGCCTTCCAAGCCAGGCAGGGCAGCAGCTGGCTGCAGCTGCAGGAGCAACGTTCCCATTTCTTTCTTGGAGCTCCTCTCTCTCACGCATCCGCTTTGCATACCTCGATTTGAGGAAGTGGAATCCCTCATTTGAGTAAGCATTTCCTATCCTCTGAATGACTTCAGACGGATATTTCTTTTCAATGCTTACGGATCAGGAATAATCTAAACTCTCAGCAAAGCAAGCGAGCAGCAGCGACCCTTCTTGCAATGGCCCGCCCTGCCTGGGTGGCCTCGACTTCAAGGCTAAAGCCGCCTCTCTCTCTCCCGTTGTCTTCTCCATTCCTAACTGTGGGAGTCAGCAGGTAATGCCTGGCGGGGGAGAACCAGTGTTCCTCTGTAAGCTTTCCAGGTCTGTGTTCGGCCCTCAGTTTGGCCCAAAAGCCCTGGGAGCACGGATCATTTTGTCCTTCCAGGAACGGCTGGGTGAGGCAAGGCCAGACACGCATACGCTTCCCATTCTGTTACTTGGAACCCTTTAGCACATCTGCAGAAGAAGCATGGGCTCGGGGGGCTTAGGCCCCTCAGCCAAACAGTCCGTCTTCGGAGAGCGGCCCCGAAGCAGCAAAGGCCGGGCTGGAGCCTTCCGGAAGGGTCCACTCTCAGCCACAGTGCAAAGGCAGGGAGGGGCCCGATTTTGAAGGGAGCGATTTCGTTGTGTATGTTTGTTCCTTTTGGCTGCTAGATCGCTTGTGTTCTTTCCCCCTTTGTTCTGGTTCGCTTGTTGGATTCGTATCCTGCCTTGTTGACGTTTTGCAGTAAACATGAGTTAAAACAAAAAGACCCGCAGAGTATACGCTGCTGCATTGGATACTTCTTGACGGAAAAGCTGCTGCCTTGGCTGCCCCTGCTCCAACTGCTAAAAGCATCCCAGGACACACCGAAGCGGCTGTCCTGTCCCCACTGAAAATTAACCTTTTAAATAGATGACGCCATTGGTTTATTGCATCACGCCAGCCGCAGCATGCAGGAGCCTCGGACATCCACCTGCATAAGCAGCGGACTGTGGCTTAAACGCTGCTCTGAGGTTTCCTTTGAGAGGAAACGGGGCCTCGCCCCGATTTCTGCAGCAGCAAAAGGCATGCCGGGTGGTTTCAAATAGATCCTGGTGCAGAGGCACCTGCATGCTTCAGCCTGAGCCCTGTTGACTGAAAACCTCCAGGAGGGAAACACGGATGCAGGAAACCAGCCAAGGAAAGCCCACGCACGTCCCTCCAAGCGCCACGGGCCGCCCGATGCGACAGGCGGTGGTGCTCCTGGTGCGTGGGCCGGACACCTTGTGCATTGCTGGCCCCAGGCGGAAAGCCCCTTGCCGCCGCACAGAAGTAGCCGCTTCCTGGAACGAGGGAAGGCGGGAGGGTCATGGAGACCTCCTCTTGGTGCCGAGGCGAGGCATTGCCTGGCTCTGAGCCCGGCCTGCCTCACAGGCTTGTTTTTGTGGGGAGAAGACGGAGAGCAGGAGGAGAGAAAAGCTGTGAGCTGCTTCGAGTGCTTTAACGAAGAACAGAAGCAGGGTATAAATCTACACAAAGCAGCAATAGCTTCTTCCACTTCTGGCTCCCAGCCCACCTTATTAAGGGGCGCCTGCAGCGGAGCTAAAGGGTCGCCCCTGCCCGGGGCAGCGTGCGCAAAGGGAAAGCGGTTTGCCGCCACAAGGAAAGGCTGCCCCAAAGAAGCCCCCCAGGCAGAACTGCAGGAATGTTGTCAGGCTGGAGACTTCGCTCTGGGTCAGTTCTCCTTTCTCCTACTTTCTCTCTCACCTAGTTCCTCCTAGGCCTTCCTTTCCCCTTTTCTTCGCTAATGAAACATCGCTACGGACGCGGCCCACGTTGGCGGCGTGGCAGTGACCCGCCGGTTCCAAGGCGATGGCGTGGCTTGGTGGTGAGGGCCCCGATCCGGAGTGCCATAAAGGGGGATCAGACACATTCCTGGGAAAGGAGCAGTCCTCGTGCTCGCTCCAGGACCAGAGGTTGCGTGGTACAGCTGTGGCTGGGGAACATGGGCCAGAGGGGCGCTTGTGCTCCCGTCGTGCTCGTGGGCTTCCTGCCGGCTTCAAACTTGCGCCCGGGCTGCGGGCAGGTGACTCGGTCCTTGCCGCATCTTCCGCAGCAGCCGTTTTGCAGCGGCCAGGGAAAAGCCGTCGGCTGGCCCAGTTGCCTGCACGCCCCGGGGTACTGTCACAGGTGCAGCGCCAGCTGGAGGTCCGGGAAGTGGCGGCCTGGCGCCCTTCAAGGGCAGCGGGCTGGAAAGGCGGGGGTAGCAGGGAGCAGAGCCGGGGCAATGGCGTCCCGTGCTGCCCCACCGCACGCCAGGACCCCTGCGGAGCAGGCGCAGAGCCTCGCCAATGGCGGCAGAAGGCGCTCCCTCAGAAAGGGGTGCCACCCGGGCCACATGCCTCCCAGGCGCTTGTGAGTCCACAGGATGGCGTGTGTCGGGCCTGCCAGCAGAGATGTCCGGGTGCCACGCGGAAAGCGGAGCTCTGCACTGGTTCGGGTCGGCACGGCGGTTCTTTTTTGTTCGGGCGGATGCCTTTGACTTTGCCAGACAATCCGATCCATTGAAAGGCTGTGCGGCTGGGAAGGCCCGGGCCTTGGCTGCCCTTTCTGAGAGGCTGGTGGGACGGAGCGATTGGAAGGAGATGAGAGGGAAGGCAGGGCCATCCCTCCGGCCCTGCTGAAGGAATGCTCTTTCCCTCCCTCCCTCCCTCTTCCTTCTTGTTGTGTCCCGCCTTTTTAGACCACAGATCTGTGGGTGGGGGCCCTCTTTGCTTCTCGGATCAAATGGAAACTGCCCCCCCCAACCTTCAGACAAAAGAAAACCCAGCGGCCAAAGAAATTGCATAATCAAACACGAAACAATCTGTAAACTCCTGTCTTCCCCGCTGCCTTTTATCTTCCATTGTAAGCCACCCTGGGAAAGACCTGTGGGGGGGTGGGGGGGGCTTAGTGTCCTCACAAACAAAAGCAGGCACCACCCTTTGTTCACAATCTCTTCTGAGTAATCCCCCAGCAGGATCCCTTTTCTGATTCTACACCTGGACAACTCCATTGTCAGGAGGGGAAGCTGTCTGGCCAGGTGTGTGTGATGGGGGGAGCAAACGCAAGCTGCAGCCCCCCCCCCCGCCCAAGGAGAACAGAAAGGTTGCAATAGGATTATCTCTCAGGGATACAAGGAGGATGTGGTACCAGACGCCATGCTCATGACCGGTGGAAAGTTACACGCACCAAGTCTCATCTCCTCTCTCTCCCAGTTGAAGGAGTACCAGAGAGAACAGGTGGCTTGGTTCTTGCGCTGCTGAGTCCTTGGACCTCCCCTGGGGAACCTCCTGCATGGCACCACACGGTTGTCTTTTTGGTGCCTGGTGAAGACGACCTCCTCCTCCTCCTCCTCCTCCATCTTTGTCTTCATTGAATTTCTATCCTGCCTTCATTCCAGGTTCTGTTTAATGGAGATCTTTCATCGCATTTGCCCAGGCGTGTGGTGATACAGAAATGCCATCAAACTATCAGACCAGGAACTCCGTTCCTGAGGGACCCTTTTCACTGCGACCAACAAACTCCTTCTAAAAGCTCATGCGCACAGTGCTTCAGCCAGGCATGGTGGGAGCTGCCAGACCCCTGTGTGTGTCCACAGAAGCATGGGCACTGGAACCAGCGACCTTCAAGAGCCTGCTCGGGGGTACCTCAGCTGGCGTCCCGCATGGGACGGGTCCTGCCCCCCCCCCAGTCCTGCTGTTCCGTGAGGGTTGGGATATTTTCCACTGTTCAGGCCTGGTGGGGAAGTCACCAGGTAGTTACTTTATTTATTTAAACAATTTACATGCCGCCCCATCGCATGAGCCAGCCTCGGGGCGGCTTACAATCATTAGAATCCCATATAACATACCATATAAAATACAAAAAGTTCATCAAATAAATAAAATACAAAAAATAATAAAATAAAATAGTGGATCCAGCCTGGTCAATTTAAACCAATAAATAAACCATTAACAGTTAAAATAGCGTTTAAATAAAAAGGTCTTGGCCTGGCGCCGAAAAACAAATAAGGACGGCGCCAGGCGGACCTCTCTGGGGAGCGCATTCCAGAGGTTGGGTGCCACCGCAGAGAAGGCCCTCCTCCGGGTACTCGCCCTCCGAATATCCTTCACGGAGGGTTCCCGGAGGCGCAGGCGCTCCTTTAGGTAACCAGGGCCTATGCCGTTCAGGGCTTTGTAGGTGATAACCAGCACCTTGAATTGGGCCCGGACTTCAATGGGAAGCCAGTGGAGCTGACAGAGGACTGGGGTTATATGAGAACAACGCCCGGTCCCCGTCAGCAGCCTGGCAGCTCTATTTTGCACCACTTGAAGTATCCGGACGGATGTCTTCGGATGTCTTCAAGGTATGAAGGCCGTTAGTTTATCTTCGAGATAAAAGGCAGAGCACTGTCTGGGATGGGCCGGGCTGTAATCTGGGCCGCTTTTATCTCGGCTTTTGTGATGCAAGATGGAGCCCCCCCCCCCTTGTACTCCACAGGTGCAGGTGGATAAGAGAATGGGGGCTGCCCGTTTGCTTTCCAGAGCCATTGGAGAGGCTTCTGTTTCCCTCTAGAACCCAGAAAAGCCACCTCAGTGGCTGGAGGCAGGGTGGGGGGGAAGTGGTTCCTTGTGGGGAGAGACGCTTTGGCTTCCAGAAAACATCCTGCCAGTTTCACTTCTCTTGCCTGCAGCTGCTGCTGTGCTCGCCTTCTTAAACTACTTTCTTGGAGGAAGCAGAGGCTGGAGTTCAGTCCCTTATCTTGCAGCAGCGAGTTCCACAGTTCAGCCCTGTGCTGTGGGAGGAAGGCGTCCTTTGGATCTGTCCGGGATTGCCCACTAACCTGCTTCATGCAATATGACCCTGCTGGCTCTAGCATTATGGGATAGGAAGAAAAAGCCCCTCCCACTCTCCCCACAGGAGAGATGATCAGCAGAGAGAGTCATACATGACCTCTCCTCACAGGGGCCTCATTCCAGCCCAGCTGTTTGAACCATATTCAAAGAGTGGATGCACCAAAAATGTGTCAAGGGGGACCGGATCTCCTTTTCAGTTCCCTTGGTAGTTCTGCCTAGCACAGGGCTGGCTGGGCTGAGATTTAGGCCAAGCGCGGAAGAGCCGGGCCTTTCCACCAGCCCGGCCCGAAGAATCCACCTCCGCCATCTTCTCCCCGTTTCCTTTTTCCTTGTGTGCGGCCGGAGGGCAGGGGGAATCTTGTCTGCTGGTGGCACGAAACCCCCGGGAGCCTTTTGGCTGGCAAGCGGAACAAGGCCGCTTCGAAGCAACAGATGGGGTGGGGTGGATCCAGTGCTCCCCCTCCGGCGGGCTCGCGGTGACGGCGAAGTGGGGCACAGGAACGTGGATGGAGCTGCCTCGCGGGGCAACCTTGCCTCCGGGCACAATTTCCCAGACATCTTTTCTGGCAGCAGGACTTTGGGAACGTTGTCCTCGGCTCCTGCCCGGCCGGCCTCGGAAGACCCTTTGGACTTTTGTCCAGGGCAAAGTGCCAGCGCGGGGACATGTTCCCCCCGGCACATCCCGCTCACTAGGTTGTTCCACAAATGCAACATTGAATTGCATGTAACAGGCAGGCTAATTATGGAAGCCAGCACGAAGAGGGGTTGCTATAATTAGTTTTCTCGTTATCCAGCGCTGGGGACAGGGGGGTAATTTACAAAGCCTTTTCTGTTGTTCTTCGCTGTTGGGTGCCGCCAGTCTCCACGGTACAGTTTGGATGTGCGGCGCTTGCTGCCGAGAAGCTGTGCTGTGCGCGGAGGCTCCTCAGAAGGGCTCGCATGAACTGCCTGATGCACCTGGGGGTTTGGGGGGGTGCCTCACACTTGCCGGGCCCCCTGAGCTTGGAGGTGGTTCAGGAGCAGGGCCTGCTGGTCGTGGCCCCTTCCCTGCAGAATCATCTCTCTCGACTGGCATGGAAGGGACCCAGGCAGCACTGGTTCCAGACTCAGAAGGGCTGGTTTTACACAGAAGCAGAGCAAGTCAGAAGGGGACTCCTGGGCCATCTAGTCTGACCCCCAGCTCCAGTCGGCTCCACTCACGACACGCCCACCATGTGCACATCCAGCCTGTCCTTGAACACCCGCACCGATGGGGTTTTAGGTATCCTGCCGGGGTGAGGGCCAGGAATGCGCCTCTGAGACGGGGTAGGAATCTCTGCCCCCCCCCCCCCGAGTGTTGTTGGATGCCAGGGCCCATCAGCCTCAGCTGATACAGCCCACGGTTGGGGCTGGGGCTGGGGCAGGGGCGAGCCTTTGGACAATGAGGGGTTGCCTAGTGCCTGCCCCCCCCCAGCTTTAATCTCTCTCTCTCTCTCTCTCTCTCTCTCTCTCTCTCTCTGCCTGGGTCTATTGTTCATTGTAAAGGTGTGCAATTGCAGGCCTGCTGCTGCAGCCTGGGGCATGTTGGGAATTGTAGGGCTTTGCTCCTGCCCAGACTTGCAGAGGACATGGAAGAGGCCTCCCTCTGACTCCCGAGGCCTGGCGCAGCATCGTGCGGAAATCAGCAGAGGAGTCTTGGAAAGATTCCCGGCCTCAGCATTTCTGAAGAATTCGGCAGCCGTGCCGAGCAGGAAGCCCTCCGCGGGCTGCCACCCCGGCTGCCTCTCGGGGAGGGCAGCTGGGTTCAGGTTTCCTCCATGGACAGTGCCCCACCATTTTATCCTCAAAACAACAGCCCTGCAAGTTCGGCTGGCCCAAGAGGCAGCAGTCTGCCCACCGGCTGAGCCGGGCTCTGAACCTGCCCCTCCGTCGTGCTCCATGCGCCCGGAACAATCCTGGAGCTTTCGGCCGACCAGGCCGGGCGAGCGAGTCTCCCCTGGACCAGCGGTTCTGGCCTGGTCCAGCAACTGAGGCTGGGGGTGGAGCGCCCTGCCTCCCGGAAGACCATCGCAGCAAGGGGGAGCCCAGCCTGGCCCCCTCCCCAGCTGGAGGGAAGGAATGGCTCTGGGGAGCTTGCTTGGCCCCCCCCCCACCCCAGAAGAAGGAACGCTGCAGGCATCCAGAAAGGCCCTTCTGGGACATCCTGCCTCCCCCACCTCGCTCCCCACAAGCCCCTTGGCTTTCGTGGGGTGTTCGCCTGTCCAAGGGCACACCTGCGGGCAGGAAGCTTCTCGGGTTCCAGCCTTGGTGTGGGGCCATCCCTCTGGGAGGCTACCTGGATGAACAGCGGGGAGAGCTGTGGCGGTCAGTCCGTCCATCTAGCCACGTAAAAGCCCCCGGGTCTCTCGCAAAAGCAGCAGGTAAATGGAATTAATACACGATGAGAAGATAGACTGGGCTTCCACAGGGAGGCTCTACTGGACTTCCTCCCCCCCTCCCCTCACCCCGGCCCCGAGAGCTGAGACGGGGGACTTCTGGCTCCGCTCCTCCGGGAGTCGTGGGACGCGGTTCTTTCTGGATACGCACAGGGCGGCATCCCAGGCAGGATCCCAGAGGCGCGAGGCAGCCGTGCCTGCCGGTGGAGGGATGGACGGAGCCTGGAAGAACCGGTCGGGAAGCCACTGGCTCCGGAAGCGGCCGGGCTGCCCGGCTCCCTCACGGGGCGGCTGCGAGGCCTGGGCAGCGGGGCGAAACGTGCCGGCGCCTCCGCCAGTGTTGCTCGGGCAGGGACGGGGCACCTGGGCAGGAGCGGGCGGTGCTCCCGCCCCCCGCCCCCCGCCCCGAAGGGGGCGGGCCGCGCGGGGGGAGGCGGCGGCGCTGGCGCTGGGGCGGCTCAGGCGCTGGGGCGGCTCAGGCGCGGCGCGCACGGGGCCGGCGGCGCGGAGGAGCAGCGGC